AGCTCCCTCAGTACCTTCGGGTGGATCCCCGAGATTGGCGTAGGTGGGCAATAGATAAGATAGATTGTAAGCTGCATTACAGATGAGTGTCATGGTGATGCTGGTATTTTAGACTTGATAAAATTATCTTGAGAAGAGGAATATTGCTGGAGAAAGGAAGAGTTGGGGAGGGGCAAGATGCATAGTGCATGCAAACTAAATATCATGTATAAAAACTAGCGTAGGAGCAAAAAAATTCTTAGTTTGGCCGTGCTTTAGCTATGTAATGTTATACAAATGGAGTGAAGGACTTGTGTTTGAGAATTGTTAGTGAGGGAAGCAACATAAGGAAGAAGTAAAAAAAAAAAAAAAAAAAAAAATCTAGAATCAAAATTAACAATGAGTGGGGGTAAAAAGACTCCTTAGGGTTACATCTTGAATTTACTGTAGGTAAGTAATTCTAAGTATCTTTTTAAAAGCAAATGGTTTCAAAAATTGGGAGTTTTCTTAAAACATAAAGAAGGAAGTTTAGAACAAAAAGTAGAAAACCAACCTTGGAAGGGGTGTGGCTATATCGAACGTAGTGTTCAAACACTGCACTCTGCAGAAATTGGTCAGAAGACTGGATCTCTATGGGAATCTGGAAAGTAGATTTGAAAATACTGATGTTCTTATACTTTGGCTGAATCAGTAATGTAAGGTGAGATTTTTTGTTTTCCTCTCTCCACAGCTCTCCTTTAAAATTTCCATGTATGATGAAATAGTCATGGTACCGATTATAAAGCTGTTATTCAGAAAATCCATCCTGACAATGCTCTGGCTTCAATCGGCTAGTTTCCTTAAAAAAACAAACAAAGAATCACAAACAAACAAAAAACTAGAAGCAGCGCTAGCTTTCTGCAGTGGCTTTTTGGTGCTGGAAACCAGCAATGCCTTTCTAACGTTTCTAACGTGTCTATGTGCTGTTATTGCATGGTCAGACCTGTGTGAGTTGTGATTAAATACAGCACCCTTGTTCACAGAAAGAACTCTTTGTACTGGTGGAGAACTGTACTTTCATGAGGAGGGGAATGTATATGTACAGGGTCTTGTATCCTGCGCAGAGATTTAAACTGCTTCTTTGTTTTGCCAAGCAGCTAACAGTGGTGTCGGTGGCCTCCCAGCCTCCCAACTCCCCCCAGAAGACGGTGGGCGTCCCACTGAATGTAGCGTTAGGACAGCAGATCCTCACAGTGCAACAGTCAGCGCCCTCCTCCCCTGGGAAGGCTATAGTCAACCACACAACTGCCCAGGTACAGACTGGCTTTCCTTTGTCTTCTAGCATGTCTCTTTCTCATTGCTTGCAGGTTGAACCGCAAACTGGCAGTGGTCAGTCCCAAGGTGTTATTGTAATGGTGTTTGCTTAAGAATTGGCAAAAGCATTGCCCTGAGGAGCACACATTTCTTCAGTCGAGGGGTGCAAACTATTGCAAGCCCATACAAGGGCATGCTGTTAGAAAGCAGCTTTCCAACCTGGAAAGCCCCACTTGGTGAAAGTTCTCGTCTCTGTATACTGAATCTCCCAAATCATCTGAAAGGCTCCCTATGACACGAGGAATAGTTTTTTGCGTGGTTCTACCTCTCCTACCAGTGTTTCTATGCCACTGACTAGGGCTGCTTTCCAGGTGTTTCTGAGGTTTGCAACAATGGAGTTCATATTCTTGTGGTAGAGGAAAATTGACCTTTCTTACAAACTACAGTTCTTACTTTTTTCCTCTTTTGTAATCTTAGGTGAATCCTTTTCTATCTTAATGTTTGTATTCCTGTTTTGGTAAACATAAAGGGATGCGTATGAGTGTAAATAATCAGAGTGGATATAGCAGGGAGTGGACACAGTTGCATGCACAGCATGAGACCAGAGGCTCAGACAGATTTTGCCAGTCTTACCTTACTGCTACAGGTGATAATTGGAATGCTGATATGGGGACATGGACACCAGCATGATTTGAATTTTTTTTTTCAGAGTAAAACTGGCAAAATTGTCTTTTTGAAACAGTTGTTGAAAGGTTAAGTCACTCTAATGCAAGCACCCTAAGTGACAAAATGGAGATGGCTGCGTGGTATACATACTGAATTCTGATCCAAAGCTATCTCACACAACACAAGGGTTTCACCTGTCTTCATTGGGCTCAAGAACATGCCTTTAGAAGAACTGTCACTTGAATTTTACAATTTTCCCAGTTGTCCTTGGATGGCAGCCACTAATTTGAGTGCTAGAGGGAACTTTGCCCATGCTGGTCTCCCTGTGATAACTGTGACTGTGCTTGCAGATCGTGCTTATTTTGAATTGCTCTGGGTTGTTGAGGTTTCAGTATATTAAAAGAAAAAAATTCCCAAGAAAACACCTTCTTTTAAAAGACCGGGCTTATATTTCCAGTGGAATATGTGCAAGTTGAGATTTCATTTGTGTAGTTGCTGAAAGCTGGGAAAATGTTCAAAGTAGAATTCACATCATACTATCAACCAAATTTAATACTAAAACTTAATGCCAAGGACAATGATACATTTAATACAGATGTTAAAAGATACTGAGAATAAAAAACTGAGCTCCAAAAGAAGTTAGATGGAAGGAAAAAAGGAGGAATAAACCAAGGTTTGAGGTTGTCAGCAAGGCTGGAAAAAGAGACTGTTATCAAACCGGTAGACTTACGAATCTGTATAAACAAACGCTTGTTATCAGTTTGTAGTTTGAGAGAAATTGGAAAGAGAAAGTCTTGCAAATTCCAGATGGACTGTTATTCCAGCTGTGAGGTACCACAGGTCTGCTGACGTCCCTTTCTTTCCCTTTTTGCTTTTTTTCTTAATAAATTTGTTTTGCTACTTCATTGTTCTTGCTTCTTTTATTTCTCAGCTTGTGCCCTCTTTCTCATGTCTTCAGCTATCAGTTTATGGACTCTGTTCCATTTCCTTCTCAAGGGCTGCACAGTGATTTCTGTGTATTAATTCCAAACTGTCTTAATAGGACGCATCTGTACACACAGAGATAAATCATGCCGCAGCCCAGCACAAACAGTTCTGCAAGTTCTTACCATGTATTTTTATTAGTAGGAATATTTCTAGGTTTGTTTGTTGCTTGATTTTGAAAACAAACTGAGCAATGTTCTCTGTAGCCACCTGAAGTGTTTTTGGCACTTCCCACTGGGGAAGTGGAGTGAGTCACCCTACTCATGTAAATACTAGTTTACTCTGGTGTTTGGTGTAGAGCATTGAAAATGGAACTGAGTTTGCTCTGAGCTGTTGAGAGGCATTTAATCTCTTCACATCTGTTTTAGTTTTGAAAGCAAAAATGGGGATAACTGACTTGCTTCTCAAGGATACGAATGGATTAGAGAGTTGCTCGCTAACAAATTGAGGAATAAACCCACTGATGTTCTTTCTGCCTTGTGTTGGCTTAACAGGCTGTGAAATCAGCAGTGCAGACCATTACTGTAGGAGGAGTGGGTACATCTCAATTTAAGACAATTATTCCCTTGGCAACTGCACCCAATGTTCAGCAGATTCAGGTACCTGGAAGCAAGTTCCATTATGTCAGACTCGTTACTGCCACAACAGCCAATAGTTCAACCCAATCGGCCAGTCAAAATCCCAGTACGAATACACAGCCTCTTCAACAGGGTAAGTGCCAGTGTTAATGTATTGTCTGAAGTAAGTTTTTCTTGGTTTTCTTCTTGTTTGTTTTGTAAGGATTAAAATGAGTACATAATAGAGATCTATCAAGACTGCCAGATATACTTGGTTTTGTGGTACGACTCCTAAAAATTTCACATTCTACTGTTACCTCTGGTTTGTATGTGGAAATGCTTCTCTGTGTCAAGTTGCTCTGTAGTTGGGCCTGAATCCTTGGAGCATTTTAGGTTGCTTTTCCCTAGTTTACCAGCTTTGTGGGTGACTAGTGGCAAGTCCCAGATCCTCTGTATGAAAAGTGTGAAGCCAGGACAGCTCACAAACATCTTGCCAAAACTCCTACAACATGGAGATCCTTCCATGTAAAATGCTTTAGAAGCGCCAGGTATTTCTGCTGGTTTCTGACCATGCTTTCCAGAACTGTGATGGAATAAAAGATTTCAAACCAAGCTGTGGTTTTTGTATTTTCTTCTTGCCAAGGGAAATCTAGTGTCCAGAGGAGCTCTGCACCCAAGCTGGTTTTTAAGCCATTGCTGTGAAACGTGTGCATGCACTCTTGTGCCAAATACCTTTTTACAAAGGTGTTCACTAGACATAAGCGTTATGTGCCGTGAGTTCAGTCAGTGAATCTCAACGCGTAGTTACAGTTTTAAGTGCCTTTGCGTTATGCGTATGTGAAAGTCTGGAGGACTGAACTGTGGATTTGGAGTGAATAATGTGTGTTAATGCGATGATGTTTCTTGATACTAGCGAAGCCAGTGGTGGTGAACGCGACCCCAGTGCGGATGTCTGTTCCCATAGTGCCAGCACAGACTGTGAAACAGGTGAGCTAAATGTAAAAGGAATATTCCTGACTTATATTGGCTGGACAGAAAAAAAAGTCCCGTTTCAGCACTGTATTGAAATGTTCTATTAATAAAAGTGCATTCTGAATCAACAAAACAATGATTTCATAAAGACCTCTCTTTCTCTCCAGGTGGTGCCCAAACCAATCAACCCAACTTCCCAGATAGTTACTACTAGTCAGCCCCAGCAAAGACTTATTATGCCAGCCACTCCACTGCCACAGATACAGCCCAACCTCACCAACCTCCCACCAGGAACTGTACTGGCACCAGCACCTGGCACAGGAAATGTCGGGTATGCAGTCCTTCCAGCTCAGTATGTCACACAGGTATGGTGTTAACCCAGAGACAAATAAGGAAATAGTGCTCTTGTAGAACATACTGCCTTCCTCTTAAACATTCTTGCTCCCCAGCTGTCACCTGACACTAAGAGGACAGACAGTTTCTTTTAGGGATCCTTGGCAGAATGATGATGGCACTAAATCATAGTTACAATTAAAGCTTTATTTTCTTAACAGGATTTTTTTGTTAGCATAGCATAGAATTTATAATCAGAATAGCACAGGATTTCTATAAGCAGAACCAATATAGTACAATTTTATAAGTAGCGTAGTACAGAATTTATAATACAACTTAACTTACAATTTCTAATCACCTAGATCTTAACTTATAATTGCTAATCACCTAGACCCTCTGCAGATTGGGTCAGATCTTAATACATGGTTTGCTTTATCAATATAACAATCATAATCTAGACTCAAAAATCATATAAAAGAATATGAATCAGTCATTCAATCCTTGGAGAAAGCAGATGTCAGTGGAGGTGTCCCTGGCCACCAGGGGGTTGTGGGTCTTGCTGTCCAGCAGCAGTTCCGGTCCCAGTTCCTCACTTAGGAATTGTAACTGCTTGATTTTTATAGACAGTGCTCTGTGTGCTTCCCTGTTCTGTGACAGGGTCATCACCACCACCTGGTTGTCTGGGTGCCTGAGACCTTCACAGCCAGTACGGAAGGGAGTAATCAGCCTGGTGCCCAGGAATCTTGAGGCCAATAGTGAGGGGAAGAAGAAATCTGTTTGGTTTGTCTACTTGGTTCACAGGACCTTCAGTACCTGATAATGAGGGGAAAGGGAACGAGTATGTGACCCGCTCGGTCACAGAAAATGGCTGCTTGCATTACAAAATGGTATTAGTTATGCTAACCACATTACCAGGGGTCAGGAGCAGGGGGTACCAGTCACACCAGCCCAGGTCTAGGGATTAATTTTTTGCTCTTCGCCAAAATCTGACCAACATTCAGAATGAAAAGGAGAAGAAATGAAATCACATGCTGAAGGCTGAACAGCCAGTCTGTACAAACAAGGACTCTGTCAGCTCATGGCATTACTGGTACCAACCTCATTTCTGGTTCCCTTCTGGTTTTGTCACAGCTGCAGTTTGACCCTGAAGACTCCTACTGTGTCATTGCAGTCCACTTCCACAAATCTTACCTTAAACTAATAGCATTTGTTGGACCTCTCCTCAGAGGTTTTGTGTTCCGGACACAATCTGTCCCCTTTGGCCTGGCCCCAGTAGGTCAATATCTTGTTATGTGCCAATCTGTCTTCAGAACCTGTCCCAGCAGGAGAAAATGGCTGTGCGTAGGTAATACAAAAGAAGGTAGCCCAAAACGGTGTTGTTTGGCAGGCTCTTATGAGGTTTTGGTTTTTTAATGTGAAAAAAAAAATGTGGGTCCAGGTATGCTGAGAAGTTGGAATGTAAATAATTTTACTTGCTTTTAGTTAATTCTGTAATAAGTGGCTTGTATATTAAGGAAGCCACTAAAGTAATTTGTGCAGGAAGCTATCCTGCTCTATTAGAGGCAGGGTTGCTTAGGAAAAGAAGGGGAAAATGAGCATGTTTTTAGGAACTGGAACTGTTTGTGGTCTGAACATTTCTGTGTGTAGTGTCTGTGTTATCTATATGGCTGTAGACACTGTAATAGAGAACAAAAATATCATCTAAAATAAGGGTTTTATGCTAAGAATGGAGGCAGGAGGTTGCTGCCTGGTCCAAGTTCTACAAATGTCTAAAACTCTGCTTACAAGCATATTATTTTTATAACAATATCTGGAAAGCTAATTAAAAGACTAGCTACACATCCTCTTGTGTATACTTTAATTTCTTTTATGTTACGCATTAACCTTTTTGTTTTGTTAGCTACAGCAATCATCATATGTATCTATAGCAAGCAACACTGGCTTTACAGGGACATCTAGTATCCAGTCCCAAGCACGGCTGCCATTCAACGGGTGAGTGTTTTGCAACAAAAAAAAAAGAAAAAGGGGGGAAAAAAAAAAAAAGGGGGTGGGGTGGGAACCACAAAACCCTGCAGAATGGCTGCTGAATGAGCATAATCTTTCAGTCCCATTATAAGGAGGGGTGGGAGCTGAGGTGCTGGAGTTCGGTTTGGGGGATTTTCCAAGATAAGTCAAGTATACTGTGGTGTGGTTATTACCTGTGACTAAAAAACATGGATCTGTCTGACAATTGAGCCAGTCTCTTGATCAAAGCTGTGTTTTCTGTTTTTTGAACTCATGGAGCTTTCAGGTCAACTTCCTGCTATCTGTTGCTCATTCTTCATTTTGCATCAGCACCTGGGAGCTACAGGCTTCAACTATTTCTTGACTGGAAACTATTGCTGGAAAGAGGTCTTGGACGATATAAGAGCTAGATGCTTAGCACATGCAGAAATCCAGCCAAACAGCAAAATGGAACTAAAGCCCAAAATGGATCCTGATAGGAGGCTTTGGGTTTTTTCAGTCTTGTATTTTTCCTTTAAGGATTAAAATAATGGCTCACATGTATTATTTTCCCTTTGCCAATCCAGCAGGCTTAACTGTTCTGCACAGTCCTTTTGTGTTATTGTTTGCTGGAAGTTGTAAATGCCAAGATGCTTTTTTGTTGCTGCAACCTCAACGGATGCAAACTAATCCCAAATCCACATGCAGCTATTCAAACGAATGGGTTTGATTTAATCTCCCTGGTATTACATGCAGAAATTGCTAGATAGGGATGGAATGAATCTTATCAAAAGCGATTAGTGACACAAAATCTGAGTTTTAAGAGCAGTTAAAGACTGTGTCTGATATAAAATTTATCTATAAACTGAATACCATGTTTTGGCTCGCTTTCCCATTATTCCAGAGCTTTTTTTTTTTTTTAATTCCAACTAGAACAAAAGGAAAGGCACAATCATGTTCGGTGAACCTTGGTTGGATCTATTCCTCCTGCATGTAGAGGGGTTCTGCACTTTTCCCTGATTCGAGTTTTCATTTATGATACTTCCTCTAGCTTTAAGCTTCATTTCTACTTTAGGTATGCAGCCAGATTTGCAGCAAATAACCTAGCTCTTTCTGGGTTGGAAAGGCACTATATATAATAGTTACTTAAATGCAGGCAGCCAAAAACCTAATGCAAGGGGTATATGAAGATTTTTTAAAAGTTTTTATTATGAGCTATTTACTTGAGTTTAAAATAGGAAGAAACTGATAAAACAGTGTGCGTGTATATAAATGCACTTTTTTCCCCCCCATAGAATAATTCCTTCTGAATCTGCAAACCGCCCCAGGAAGCCTTGCAATTGTACTAAGTCTCTATGTTTGAAATTGTAAGTACAGCTTTTTTGGGGGTTTTTTAAAGCCTTATTTTTGACATCACAAATTTATGCCAAGTATCAGAATATAATGTTTTTAAGTATGTCAGAAATGTTATGTCTAGATGCTAATTTAAGGTTGCTCTTGATATTGGTGGAGGTATTGCAGTGCCTGTGTAATTTTGCAACTCCTGTGAGCTATATGGGCCCTAACATTTTATAAATTTCTAACTTCGCAGCCTTGTTGCATGGTGGAGCCAATTCGATTCAGCAGCTGTAGTTGCATTGTTGTTGCTATGAGTGAAATTACATCCTATGGTATCATCAGTGGGCATCTACTATACTTTGGTGAAGCGCATCAGTAATACCATGCTGTATCAAGTACTTCAGAAAAATTGGGCTGTGTATCTTTTCTTAAATGACTGAATAGACAAGTGATTCTTCACTGATAGGTCTGAGTCTTGCTCATCCTCAAGAGGTATTTTGCTGTTCCAATACAGTGTCTTTGTAAGAATTTGACATAAAAGCATTTTAAGCTGACGAGATGCTAAATTTCTTTAACTTGAAGCAAAGTCAGTTTACTGAATTTGGGACAATGACAGGAGGAGATACTGAAATTAATCTGTGGTTCCCTGAATCCTGGACAACGAAGAAGAAATTGATGGTGTGCTACTCAAAGGGACAATGATGCAACAGTATGTGAACCCAAGTTAAGAAGTGTGTTTAAACTTTTCAGCTTGGGTTTCTTTTTGTGTAATGCACCTCACCTCTGTGGGGAGGTGTGCCCTGTGTTTCCTAGCCTCAAAATTGTCTGTTGCACAGAAGACGTGGTAAACGGGAAGATGTGTAGCTGTTTTTTCAGATGTTTTACAACATATGTGACTGACTTCATAGTGCCAAATGTATGTTAGATGCTTAGGGTTTTCCACTTATTTTAGTCTTTGATGCCTGAATGCTTTAGAAATTCAGGGAGAATAATGGCATCACTGGTAATGCTTTGCACCTTCAGAATGCTGTTTGGAAACAAACTTTTCTTGTAAATTACTGTAAATGGCTAGGCATTCGTGCAGAGCAAATGGCTAATTCACTCTGGCAAAGGTGCTTTCTCACTAGTAAAACTTCCTCCTGTCTGGAAGGGGAGTTGCTTTTTCCCAAATGAATATTGAAGGTAGGCATATAGCCTATTCTACAAAGAAGAGAACTCGGAGAAGTTATTTGCTCACTGATGCTCTGGGTTGATGGTGGCGCTGTTTGTTTTGGAAACCAGGACCGTTCCACTACTGAATTTTAAACAGGGCAGAAAGGAGAGCTATTACAGGTTGTAAAAGCTTTTGATGTAGTTTGTCCCTGGGACCATTCAGAATGGTAAAACTCACCAAAATGCAGTTCAACCAGATGAAGGGTTGTAGTGGACTCCAGGGCAACCCTAATCTAGTTCTTGTAGTGTTACCCTGGGCAAGCCACAGGAAGCCAGTTTTGCAAGGGGTTTAGGCTCCTAAAAATGAACATAGGCTCCCAGCAGGATTTGAAAAGCAACTGAAGAGGATCAGCAGTTTCCATCAGCTATAGCTGGAGGTGGTACTGTAAGCATTGAAATGTGCCAGAGTTTGTCATGGCCCAAAGCCAATTTTGAGCTGGGAATGAATGTGGTGGTTCCATGTATCAGATCTGTGGGATGGTGAGATCTTGGTTTTGGTGGGAGGTAACAGAGCCAATGTGATTGGCTTTTTCTGTCAACGTTTTGCTGCTTTTTATTCACATACTTGTCCCTTTAAAAAGTCTCTGATAACTACAGCTTTGTCCTCATTCAGATCCTTTCCCTAGTTACCTGCGCTTCAAAGCCTATGAGGTGTACCAGTTGTTATTCCTTTTCTATTCTTCCATCCCTGCTTTGGTGAACTCTGCCTCCGTTCACAGCTGCAAACAGCTTATGGGCAAAACTAACAAAAAAAGGCTCGTTGCTGTGTTAGTCAGTTTGCCTGTTGATTGGCACTCCAATTGCTTGCCTTTTGTTTTGGCTGTATGAGAGCTCCTGAAGGCTGACTTGAACTGGCTATGAGGTGGCTGCAGCAGGATGGCCCTCAATATGTGGGTCAGCCACCCAGGAGTTGCCCTAGAAAAAAGTCTCATTAGCTTCTCTCGCTGCTATGGGGACCTGTGCTATGTGAACATCAGCTCAAACGGACACCCTTCAGCTATACCTGTGTCTTTAGACAGCAGCTAGACCTGCGCTAGAGGATTTAGGCCTTGCAGTGAGGCTGATACCACTTGTACACGTGGAGTTGAGCATGTGCATATTGCCAGACTAGAAACTTCTGCTACTGCCATCAATACTAACACCAATGTAATGGTCACATTTACAAGTGCCTTCTGCATCTTCTGTTTCAGGTATTGTGATTGTTTTGCAAATGGTGAATTCTGCAATAACTGCAACTGTACAAATTGTTATAACAACCTGGACCATGAAAACGATAGGCAAAAAGCAATAAAGGTGAGGGGCCTCTTCCCCTGCCCCTGGGATGAAAGCTGTTTAGCTTGTGTCTTCTCAGGCTACGGCGTGGGGCAGAGTGGGTGTATAATGCCCTGATCTCCTCCCACATGTGCAAGGCTTAAGTTCTTTTATTGCACCTCTAAATTCTGCTCCCTGCATGCAGTGACTGACCCTTTGGGTCTGCATTGACAGGCCTGCCTTGACAGAAACCCTGAAGCCTTCAAGCCCAAAATAGGGAAAGGAAAGGAAGGAGAATCAGATCGGAGACACAGCAAAGGGTGTAACTGTAAACGCTCGGGATGTCTCAAAAACTACTGTGAATGTTATGAGGTACGAAGCATTGTCTCATCTTAAAGATACTGACTTTTTCCCTTTAGTGCTGTGACTTCTCTGATTTGCTTTGTCTCTTCTTTGTATTGCTATAATGTTTTCTCTTCTGTTCTTTTCTATTGCTAGAATGTTATCTCTTCTTCCAGCAGTTTGCACATAGAAAGCCACGTATATGGCAAAATTGATCACTTCTGTTGTATAAGTTTAATTTTAAACCATGTAGCATCTTTGAACTCAGGTTTGGATTTGTCCTTTACTGAAGAGCAGTATTTCCTAAAGAAATCTACTGCACCGCAGTCCCTAGGAGGAGTTGAAGCAGCATCCCACAGACGCTCTGGGATAGAACATGTCTGTGGAAGACAAAAGCAAAAGTTGTTGTGTCAGCTGACTGATCAGTCTGTGGATGTAGAGACAGTGGCAGACTGACCTCTATTACAGCTCAACCACCTAAATTCCACCGGAAACAAGTAGGTTGGTGAAGAAAGGGATGAATGGGAAACCATTGATTTGCATTTGATTCAAGTATACATTCTGGGAAGGCATCTCAGTTTGAGGTGAGAATTTAGAGAGAAAGCTACTACTTGGGGATTTCTTCTAGTGGCTAATTGATAAGAGATTGAAACAAGATTTCCTTCTCATTGTGGCTTGTCATAAAGGGACTGAAGATTGCAACAAGTTTCTCATGTTTGTTTCTTTCAGGCAAAAATCATGTGTTCTTCCATATGCAAATGCATTGGCTGTAAAAATTTTGAAGAAAGCCCAGAGCGAAAGACATTGATGCATTTAGCAGATGCTGCAGAAGTTAGAGTCCAGCAGCAGACCGCTGCAAAGACCAAGTTATCTTCCCAGATCTCAGATCTGCTGACAAGGCCAACACCAGCACTCAGCAGTGGTGGTGGGAAGTAAGTTAATGCAGCACCCTGTTTCAGTTGCTTCTAACATGTTTTTTCTGATATATGTGACAGGTATGTCCTGTCATCTTTGAATGTTATCTGTGTAAGCTGTAGAAGCAGGAACACTCAGGTGAATGGAGCTTTTTGTTCATGCAACCGTGCTTTCTGTGGAACCTAGAGTATGCCAAGCTTAGTTGTGTTCAAGCACGTAACTAAGCGTTGTCTTCTCATGGTTGCCCATATGCTCACAGAAAGCATGAAATACAAGTGTCCCATTTACTGAGAGGATGTAATCCTTGAGCTGCCCTTATAGTAAAAGCTGGAGAATTTTTCTATGTACCTGGGCATTTCAAAGTCTATTTCAAAATGTACCATTAATGGAGGCAGACACCAAAGCACAATGGTCCACTAGTTCATTTGACTGTAACTGTGGCTTATTCACTCCCTGTTGGTTGTCTAAAGGCTCTTGGAAGCAATGGGACAGATGAAATCTCATCAGTCCTTGTACTAAAAAGTTGCCCAGCCCTGGAGTTAGGTGCATTGTGTGTTTTTGCTGAGAGTGAGTGGATCTTTCTTTGCTTCAGGCTGCCCTTTACATTTGTAACCAAGGAGGTAGCTGATGCAACCTGCGAATGCCTTCTCGCACAGGCAGAGCAAGCGGAGAAGATGGGCAAGTCAAAAGCTGCAGCAGAGCGCATGATCCTGGAGGAGTTCGGACGCTGTTTGATGAGAGTTATTAACTCTGCAGGGAAGTCCAAAAGTGACCCTTGTGCCATGAACTGCTGACTCATGCACATGAGCCACAATGAAGCGGACTGAACAGAACACTTAAGGCACAGGGACACTTTTGTTTGGCATAGAGGATTTAATATTTGTTAATTTGGTGCTTGTTGTAAATTGACCTGCATAAGATTGAAACAAGAAAATCTTTTGTAACGAGATGTAGAGCCTTTTAAATCTTAGCTAAATCCTCTTCTACGTAAGACAATTCGTCTTCCTAATGTACAGCTTTTACCTTGGGTTTCTTAAAAAATTAGATGTGTTCTCCCCTTTCCCCCAGAATAATTGCCTGAAGGGCATATATAAATTATTATAATATATATTATTTACAGTGTATGGAGTTGCATCACTTTGTGCATACAGGAAAACACAGGTGATGTCAACAGCCAGGTGATGCTTTTGGCGACATGCGAATAAGGATGTATCAGTGTATCCAAGATAGTTCTGAAAGGAAGTGTGTAAAAATCAGCATCTAAATGGAAGGCAGTACTTGTATTTAGGACCTGACACAGCACGTTCCTTTAGTGCATGGAGCACTGTGAAATACACAGGCAATAACACAGAGGAGTTGCTTGCAGATTTAGCATTGGGCAAAGTGGTGGAGAATCTTGCTGGAGCGGGGCCCAAGGAGTTTAGAGGCGAATGGAATTAATGGGAATTTTTTGATCAGAATGTGGCTGAGAGCTCAGATGTTTCTTAAGCTGGAACTTGAAGGCTAAGACAGTGACCTGTTCTCAGAAGTGAGGAAGAGCAGCCACGCCACAATGCCGGACTGTCTGCCCACTGTACAGTGTTACCTAAGTGTGCAGCAGATGGATGCTGTTGCTTAGGTGAAGCTTGGTTTTTCAGAGGCCTGCAGCAGCCTAATCCCTCATTGGAGGTAGGGCTGTGCAGTCCGTTGTGTTTTCTAGGATCACGCGGTAACCCTGGAAAAGTGTTTAAGACTGAGAAGCTGAGCTCACAGGAGATGGTGGAACCACAGTCTTAATGAGGACTCGAGACAATCTGCATCCGAATCGACTTTCAAACGCAGGTAGGGATCATGTTCAGCCTGGTTGTGGGTCTTCAGGATGCTGCTTCTCTGTATGTTGGCAATTTACTTGGCATAAGGTTTTTTTTAGTGTTGTTTAGAATGACTGTGAGAGCCGTGATCAGAGAGCATGCTAGCTCAGAATCAGGATTGCTAACAAAATAGGTGCACGGATCCTTTTACACAAAGTGGGGGGGCAAGGAGAATCAACTATAGCTGTGTATAGACTAGGGTAGGGGATTTTTTCAGTTTGTTACAGGCAATCTCAGATCACATTTTTGATAGTGGAACACATTTGCAAAATTAACCTGGTTAGGTTACTTACCTACCATGAATATCAATAACCGTGTTTAATCACAGGCATTTTTATTACCTATCTCACTGCAGCCTGAACTAGCTAGGTTTTTGCAAAAGGGATTTTGTATTCCTCGTGTAAAACTGTAAATACAGAGAAATGCAGCAGAGCTCTTCCTCCAGGTTTTCTAGCAGGGCCAGGCTGGGGAAAGATAGGGGCTAGGCAAACCAGCAGCGGAGCTAAGTGCCTACGTAAGTGATGGCAATAGGATGGGAGGATGCTTCCACTCCTGTTTCACCCCACGGTCCTGTGCACTGAGCAGAAGGCCCTTTCTCCTTGACCCTTCTCTTGTGCCTCCTCGAAATGCCTTGGGGGCATGAAGGGCCTCAGAGGTGGTCAGCAGTGGTGGCAGGCCTGTTGAGTGGCCATTGCAGACAAGGTTTGACCTGCCAGTCACAGTCTGTAGGGCCCTGTCTGCTATTAACATCTCCCTGAGCATAAACAGCAAGTATATTTGTGCAAATCTCTGAAAAGGGAATCCACTTCTCATGTAAGTAAATGCCATTTTTTTCATAATTAGGACTTGGATTTACTAAAAAATCAGTGCAGTAACTTTACATGTAGATAGTGCAGATACTCAGTTTTCTTCTAGTGACCTAATAGTATGTCCAGTAAGATTTGTATAAATGTAAATTAGTGTAAGTGAATAAAGTAATACCTACTTACATTATTTTTCAAACAGATTGCAATATGCCTTCTTTTGTTTAGACTTCAGTCCATGTTAATTTTGTATATATTCTGTATCTTACTCTAAATTGCACCTTTTGTGATGTGTATTTATATACAGTGTGCAAAAATACTTGTGAAATTTAGATTACAGTTGTAATTATGTATTATGGCATTGCTTGAGAATATTTTGCTTGTAAAGACTTCGAAGGTGCAATCAAATGCTCTTAGTTCTTCTATTTTGTTTTGAACAAGCTTTTTCAAATATTAAGCTTGGATTCCTCTCTCCCCTCTTCCTGGTGTAGAATGTGTGAATTGGTTTTTGTACTTCCTTAGCCATTTGCATCAAACTGCTGGACAAGATTTACAGTCAAGTTCATCCAGTTACATAAAAATAATTGGGAATGGGGCAAGGGTTCATTTTCTAGTTCTGTTTACATCTGAAAGTAAAAAAATTAAATTTATATTTACTAGACCTATTCAAAGAATACACTTTTCTATATTGTACAAATAAAAGTCAGATAAATCACAAAGAAAAATAAACATTTATACTATTCTGTAAATACGATTTTTTTTTTTTGCACTCCTTTCCTTCAGAACTGACAAATATACACAGAAGATTTTCACTGAAAAATCAAAATGAATCTGTTACACTAGGCCCACTTCTGATGCAAGTGGATTTGATGATCCACTTCTGGATTTTCAGTACGAGATCAAATCCTACCAGAGATAAACCCTTGGTTACTGGTGTACTGTCATGCATAGCAATTCGTGGCATGTTGTGGCACAGTTCATAAAGGGCCAAAGTGTATCAATCAAGCCAGCACCAGGTGAACCCATGTGATAATTTCTCAATTTCTTTTAAACTCTTTAATAAGAAAGCATAGCTTTTTCACGTGCACTGGGTGGACAAGAGTTAGGCTCAGACTGAGCAGAAAGACATGTGAGGCCATTCTGCAGCGCCCTTGAAGACAGCAGGGTGCTACACAGAGCTCATTGAGGACCCCAGGCAAAACTTTGAGGCAAAGCTTTGTTGAGAGCCTTAGACTGCTTGTTAGCAGGATGCAATGCACTGTTTTCTTGTGGCATTTATGTCTTTTTATGTCTCTCTTGGGGAGGAGGTTTGTAAGCAGCTCTTGCAAAGCTATATTACTCAGTTACATTAAGGAATACAAGTCAGTTAGGAGAGCTTGTGGTTTGTTTCTGCAGAGTAAAACCTGGTTTTATTTTTGTGCATCCAATTTCTACGTTCAGCTTTTTTTAGCAGCTTGGTAAAGGTAGTATGCGATCAATGCTCAGGGAGCCTTAGGAGCATTGTTAGGATGTTGAGCGAATGAAAGATGTTACTGAGCTGAGCTTTTCCTCCTAGCACACCAGCTGCCGCGAGAGAAGGCTGTCGGTTATCTTAGGCTCCAGTGGAGGACTGAGAGAAAGAATGAGATGGTCAAAGTGACTTTCGGGTGGGCTTGTATGGACCTCATGGAGGGTGTGGTGCTAGCAAGATTAAGGGTGTTTCAGAGAGGGATGGTGAATGTCTGAGCAGGGAATTGCTGGGGAGAGAAAGTAGTGTCCAAAAGACTGTGGGAAAAGGAGTGGTGCAGAAAATCACTTAGTGGCAATTGTGGAGTTACGAATGCTGAAAAATTCCACTGAAACCTGGCAGTTCCTGCAGTGTGAGCACAGCCAGCAGTATCTGTGGTGGGCAACAGCAGGTCTGTATTTTTGGAACATAATGGCAATTGATACAGGGTTCCTGTAACAATTGTCAAGCTTTTTATAATATTGGATAGCTTTGTTAATTAGGTAACTGCCACGCTTTTTTCTAATAATGTGCTTTTGCTCAAACATCATCCTGCCAAGCCCTGTAAAACTTCCTCAACGTCTCTTGAAAACCTCTGTCATCAGTATTTCAGTGAATTACAAAAGGATGTGTAACCTGTGGTGGTCATGGGTACGGGCAGGTCAGCCACAGGAATGCATAGAGCCTGACGTCAGCCTATCTGCACAGCAATCTCCGGCTTAGTTCATCTATCGGCAGCAATTGCACAAAACCCATGAGAAATTCAGAGATTGGGAGGCCCTGTGCGCAGCACGCCTGCCATGTTCACAACTTCACCCCAGCAGCCAGGAGCTCATGCATGTCTTTGTGCAAGAGCTTCCCATTCAGGAGGAGGCTCAGTATGAATCGAGCAAGACAAGCTCCCTCAGATGTAAACAGGAAGTGGCGGCAGGCTTATGTCCAGCCGAAAAAAGTGCACAGCAAGGAAGTGCCTGTCCCTATGGCTCAGCTCATATTGGGGCTGGAGGTTTAGGCAATGCAAAAGTTACAACATTACATGAGTGCAACGAATCTACTACTGGGATTTCAGCAGTATTTTGCCAGTTGTCCTAAAAATTGCATATAAACAGGAGGGAAATAGTTTCCTGCAGAGTATCTTGTAGTTGGAATGGCTCCATGGCAGTGACGGCTTCAACATGGCTTTTTGCATAGGTAATGGGACTGGAAAAAAAAATTCTAGAGATTTTGGTTTGCTATTCCCAGCAGAGAACGCATAAAGTTCTGTGGTGCTGCTGCTCTCAAAGCAGAACATGAGGAACTGAGTGCAGCAGCTCTGCTCCAACCACGAGTAGGATTAAGGAGAGGAGGAAGAACCCAAACCGACCAGGGACAGTTTTGTCAAGTCACTGGCAGGCAGAATGGCACCTTGAATATTATTCCTGTCCTGGGACATGGTGGGTCACCATTTTTCAACCTATTTTTCATCCAACATGCAGCTCCAAAGTAACTGAACAGCCAGAGTTTTGTGGGAAATAGTTGCCTTTCATCTCTATGGATGCAACTGCTGTTCTGCATAGCAAAGGGAAACCATTTAGCAGCAGTTATGCCAAACTTTGCTATTCCAGGTAAAGCACTGCATACCGAGGAAGCTCCCTTGCCACAGAAATGAACTGACTGAAGCAGCCTGTCCTACTTGGTGGCATCAAATCTGTGATTCAAGTAATCAGTGGAAACAACATCTGAAAAGGAGACGGCCTTATGCCCTGGGCTGCAGAACACATGGGGCCATGTGGCATAGTTGAGTGGGTGACCTGATGGGGCTATGAAATGG